GATAATATTGCATCACAAAGTGGTTACACATGTAGAAAAGTTTATTAACGACATTTTTTTTCACTAAAGTGGCGACTTTTTACGTTTTGGAAAGAAGCACTAGTTTTCCACCATGACAATGATGATGCAAAGCACAAAGCACATGCAATATTTGATGAGTCGGGTCGTCATCTACGTGTGTAGTGTAATGATCTGGTGACCTCATTTTCGTCTCATTCCTTCCCACGGATGTCGAGGTCAGGGAGGCCTAATATCGAGTGATTTGATTCGACTTGGTGAGTGTCACCGTGTCCATCTCGAATGTGTGCGTCATCTGACGTGCTCCCTCTCCGTCGTCAAATCTGCATGTTTCTTCTCTTAACGGAGCCACACAACACGGTCCTTCTCCGCCTTTAACGTCTGCCCGGCGGCAGTCTCTTTGAAGATTTCACAAGGGCAGGCGGTTGAGGCATATATGGTGTCGCTCATCCCATGCCTCCTTAACAGTGAGGCGATGTGGAGCACGTCGTGGCTGATATGAGCTACGTGGGTGAGCTCTGTCCTGCCTATATGGTATCTGCACGTAGACGTACTCGACATCAGATCCAGATCTGGGAACTCGCTGAGGAGGGCGGGATCTTCCAACATGGCCTCCACTGCATCATGTTGATTCCACTCCTGCTCCTCTAGAGCGGCCTCCTCCTCCACCCGCTCTTCGTCCAGGATTTTCTCCTCCTCCGACAGTGGCACCTAGTCTAGTAGCAAAGGAAGAGGCATGGGACGAGGAGGGAAGTGGAGGTTCTGGGCGGCGATGGTATGAACTATCCAGGCAGGGTGATGGCCACTTTATAGCAGCAGGCGGTGGGAAACATGGAGCACAGAGGGGAAATATGGAGGAAATGGTCGCGGGCAGTTGGCACGCGGTGCCACCATTAGTTGACATGCTTCTCGGTGCCATTGGGCGTCTATCGTCCGAGTCATTGGCGCGGCGAGGAGATGGCTTGTGTAGAACGTTGAGGAGGGAGGTGAAACTTCCCTCCCTACGCGAGTGGTTGTTGGATGGAGTGCCCTCCTACCCCACGCCCCACAACCCAAATATGGAGGCTAGTGGGATTGATATGGAGTGCCTTCATAAAATATTATGACAATCCGGAGTCGTATGACAACTTTGCTAGAGTGGTATTTTTGGTCAAAATCGTCATATCGAAAGTTATTATGGAGATCGGTCTGATATGACGAAACCGCTAAAGTTGCTCTTAGGATGCTTCATTGCATCTCTCAAAAAAGAGGAAGGACCCAGGTGGACCTAGAACAACTTCATTAATTTAACATCCGAACACAGCTGACCCAAAGACCCCCAAATTAAGAAATAGTACAACTTGGTCCAAACTACGTACAAATGGACCCATGGACTGAGCTTAGCTTAGATGGTCAAGTTCATTGTCGTGGAACTAGCCCATTAGGATTCAAGTCTTAGACTTGACACTGGTGCTCATATTTTTCTGAATTTTCAATGAGTACCAGTGCCATTGTTGATGACGATGGGAATGTTGTCTCACACTAAATGAACAAAGGAAGCACATGTGCTCACATTGTCGATTCAAGTCTTATTTCAGGCTTTTCAGTGATGATCATTCAGTGGGAGACGACGTTTCCATAGATAATGAGATGCTTGTGGTGACTTTGTCAATCTCAAGCCTCTCTAAAGGGTCAGCCTTTAGTCAGAAGAGTCAATGACGAAACAACTCGGGGCCACCAATCAACTACAAAGCCCGAAGGCAGTGAGGGATGTTGTAGCTCCACCCCCACAACATTGTTGATGGTGATCTCAAGACGAAGCAGACACACGTGCTTCAGGTCCAACATGTGAGGCTCATTCTTGACAAGATGACCGATATGAAGAGGTTGAAGCCGAGACCATTGTCGTCTCCTCTTCCGTCACCTCACCAAAGGATGAAATAGAGGGAAGCCACATCTGTTTTCGCTAGATCTTGCTGCCACATGAGCTTATTTCAGGAGCTCTTGCCAGGTGCACCTCCAGTGATTGACTTTCACCATGGAAACGACAGTAGCCAGCGAATGGCAGCCACGGGATGAAGCTCGCAAGCACCGGTGAGAAGCTTTGGTATAGCATGACACTAGACGGCCTTAAAGCAAACCCTAACCCAGACCTAGTTCTAATCATACAATCTACAACTTGGAGTCGGCCTCCTCTGCCATCTCTAATTTGAGCAGCGAGGCCACTGGAGGAGAAGCTGGATGAACCCGAGGCACCATCATCGGCTCTAAACAGGGGCAAGAGTGATAAGAAGTAAGAGAAGACTGAATCCGTCCCATGCGAGCTCATGATACCCCTCATACCTATCTTGGTCTACATATCTCTCTCCCACTAAACTTCCTTTGTTTGTCTTCGCTCCGCTTATCGCCAAGGTAGCCAAATATCATAGCCAGATGGCGTGGCATCATCCTTCCTTTGAGTGGAAAGCTTGTTCGCTGAAATGGTGTCCTTAAATCCATGCCTACTTACTATGGGCCTCTTTGATTTGCATGATTCTAAGAATACATGAATAGAAAAGGTATGGGATTGCAATTTCATGTTCATTTGAATCCTATAGTTTTTTGTTTGTTTCATTTGATTACATCACAGGAAAAACAAAGGAGCACAAGGAAGTCTTTGCAAGAGGTTTGAGTGAATGTTAAATTTTCGTTGGGATGTAGTACAAATGAATCCTTAGGGAAATAAGTATAGGAATCAATCCTACCCATATATTTTTTTCCAAAGGACTATAATCCTCCAAAATTCCTACGAAAAATCTTGAATCAAATAAGTCATTCATGTGTTACCCTTTCATAGAATGATGAAAGCTACAGATAAGAGATGTCGGTCCTTTTTTTGGATTGGCACGAAAACTTTACTGGTTCTCATTGCCAAACTCTTGGGAAAATATTTTGTTCTGATAAGAAACAGGGAAGCATCATCATGACATCATTCCTGGAGATGATTGTCAATAAGGACCTCCCCCTTCACCGTGCAATAACTATAAAGGCATCTCTAACCAGTGCCCCAAACCCGCCCCCAAAAGTTAACTCCTTAGGCACTAGAGGCGGTGCAATCTAATCCATACCCAAAAGTTTAATTCTTCAACTTCCCACCACTACTACCACTACCCTTCCGTCTGGCCCATAAGGAAGCTACCATAGGATGGTTGTGCAGGTTCAAACCTGAGTCGAACTGGGTGCGACTCGCGCATTGGCGTGCTTTCTTTCTGTTAGGTTCAAACACAATGACATTGACCGGCTTCGGTTAACATTTGTACGACTGCCAATCTCTTCCGAACAGTGAGGTCCTTTTGATTGAAAGATTCCGACTTGCTTCAAAGGGTGTGAAAGACATTTTGATTCAAAAATAGTTTTTGAATGTGTCTAATTTGTAGGAATTTTATGTTAGTCATTCGCCTCGTAATGTGGTAATATATATGCATTTTTCTAAGAATTTCTCTACACTATATTTGATAGAGAAAAAACCCATCCATCGCAATCTTCTAAAACATTTAGTTATGTTTCTTATATGGTAGAATGTAACATCATTTTAATTCAAATAAACCGTTTGTTCCCAAATATAAGGTGTATTTTTAAAAAATCAAACTTGTCTATGTTAGACCAATTTTATAGAGAAAAATTATCAATATCTATCATGGTATCATTAGATTCATCATGAAATATATTCACTTTTTTGCTAGGTATTATAAATATTAATATTTTTTTCTAAAAAATATCAATATCGATCATGGTATCATTAAATTCATCATGAAATATATTTTTCAGTTTTTTTGCTAATTTCGTATTATAATTATTATGATTTTTCTATAAACTTAGTCAAGCGTAAGGATTTAAACTTTTGAAAAATCAATGCACCTTATATTTCAGAATGGAGGGAGAAGCATTCAACGTGGTGTGACATTATGGTCCTACACTTTTCTAGCGCTGCAATTTTAGAAAACAAACGTGCACTCGCAGTCCTACAACTTCAAAACAGTCTAGAACAAACATCTAACTTATAAAACAAATCACATTTTGACACTCCGTTGATTTCAAAGCGGTTTCAATTTTAACTTTGAAAAATTAATGCACCTTACATTTCAGAATGGAGGGAGAAGCACTCAACATGGTGTGACATTACGGTCCTACACTTTTATAGCGCTGCAATTTTAAAATACAAACGTCTTCTAGGCATAGCCGGTCCCAAGCCCGGGTAAAGGAGGGTTGTGATAGGCTTGGCGAGCCAACGTAAAAACTAGCCAGTCCCATAGGTATGAAACCCATTTGAGCGAGAATAGTACTAGGATGGGTGACCTCCTAGGAAGTCCTCGTGAAAGGGTTTCATATCTAAGGGTTGTGATAGGCTTGGCGAGCCAACGTAAAAACTAGCCAGTCTTTTGGGTATGAAACCCATTTGGGCGAGAGTTGTACTAGGATGGGTGACCTCCTGGGAAGTCCTCGTGAAAGGGTTTCATATCTAGCCTACCCCAACTTGTTTGGGATAAAAGGCTTCGTAAGTAAGTAAGTAAGTAAACGTCCACTCACAGTTCTACAACTTCAAAACAGTCTAGAACAAACATCTAACTTATAAAACAAATCCTCGATTGATTTCAAAGCGGTCTCGACTTCATAGGGAAGTTGCTTTGCAAAACCCTGAATCTAAACACCGCAGTGACAATAAACCATAATGCCACATCTCTCTTCACTCAAATAAAGTCTCCTGGCACAATATTTTGGGAAATGCTAAGCAACCCTTTGCTTTACTACTGAAACTTGGTCCAGAGGTGTACCAAGCCGAAAGAAAAAGTTCACTAGTTGATGCTTAAACGGCATACATGGCGCAGCTCTTTAAAACGATTACAAGGAAATGCGACAATCCAGGAAGTCCACCCCCTTTATTCTGCCTCATGGAGGTTGAAATCTGGTGGGCGTGTTGACACACCCTCATCAACCGAGCGACTCTCGATTGTTCTTTGAAACAATCACAAGGCTTTATCAAAATTGTCTATCTTGATTGGAGCAATGTTATCTGCCACCTTGAAGTGCCCCACCAATCTTGCGAAGAACATCATCTGCTGCTCCAAGGTAAACTTGATGTTCTCAGCCTGCTCCAAGAAAACGCGTATCAGCTATGAGCTTTTCATATGTGATATTTGAGTTCATTTCTACTGAGCTTCCCGTCCGCAAGTAGCCATCATTCATATTCAACAAAAGAAAAACCAAGTTGGTCGATTACATCGCTGTTTACTGTTCAGGTGCAATGTGGGACATTGGAGGTGCCTTGTGTAAGAATTAAAAATAATGTGACTTGTATAACGAGATACGAAAACGATAATAAATGTGTTAACCTTGCGGAAACCATGTTGTTCCCCTTCATACTCAACCAAAGCAACAGGCAGACCTTTGTCCTTTATAGCCTTGTATATCGTTGTTGCCTGATCTGGTGATACAACCTGAAGATCATCAAAGTGTAAGTTGGTCAATTACATCGCTGTTTACTGTTCAGGTGCAATGTGGTCAACCCTAAACCCTAACAGTTCAAAGGATAAGAATGTAGACAACTGACACACTGCAGTCTTTCCTAGCAGAATTCCGTTCAATCCTCACTATCTGGACTAATAGTTGCATTTAATTCATTACTCTAAAGATAGTTGATATTGTACTAAGAATGTTCTCTTATGAAATTCTACAACCATACATATCAAACTACTATAAATTGTCTAGACAACTATAGTGTGACATCACACTTCAAAATTCAAAGTTTTACCGGGTCATCCAATCCTTGAAACAAAATGACCGGACATGTAAATCTCTCAACGAAGTTTATTGGCGACCTCTCAAAGTAAGCCTGCTTATTCCCTGGAATATTGAAGGTACATGGGTGTTATTTAGTAAATTATAAACAGATTCGAACATCCATATCCTAGTAAAGATGAGTACAAAGTTCCTTACCCACAAGGTTGTCAATATAGTACGCCTCAAACTTGTGCATGCCTGCCCTTAATGAAGCTAAGTCAGCAATCTGCTCAACAAATGTATAAATTGTTAGCTAGTATTAGGCTGCAGCAAAAAGGAGAGGAAAATTTTTGATTTGAAACTTGCCCCGTATAAAGAAGAACCAGCCTTGAACGTCTGTCTAAAAGCAAGGCAAGCTAAAGTTGTGAATCCACCAGCAGATTCCCCTGTTACACAGAGTCGTTGCGCGTCTACTCTTCCAGTTGCCACCTTATCATCAGTAAAAAGGCATATTCATTAATCTCATCTTATTATATGCACTGAATATGATGATCACAGAAGCTACATGAAATTATTAAAAGGATCAGTCAGTCTGAATAAGCCATACCAGAAATGTAGCACAGCTGCAGCAATCATTTACATCCACAACACCCCATTGCCCTAAAAGCCTCTCTCGATACTCCCTCCCATAGCCTTCAAGAAAACAAAGAGAATACTTATTAACACTTCCATGTTCTTCAGTAAGAGATTAAGGCTTTTGTACATAAGAGGATGCAAATCATTAAACAATCCATGCATCAGATGTGCAAGTATATAGAACGCAGGATTTATTTTACTCATCAGATAGATAGCCGAGAAAGTTAGGAGACAAATACCTGCACTTCCCCCATAGTTAACATCAACGAATGCCCATCCTCGGCTCGTCCAGTATTGCACACTAAGATCAAGAATCCCACGTGCTTCATCTGTAGGTCCACCTAAATAATTGCAGTAATACCAAGAGAAGTAGTCAGTTCTCTGTCGTGATACTTTGCCAACCGATTGGTGCATCATTTCACCGGCCTTAGCAATTTGATAAGTTGGTGAGTACAGTTAGGACCACTGTATGCTCTTTTTATCATCGTACGAGCACAAACAGTGTAAACAGAAAGTTAGCAGATATGCAACGAATGTCAAAGACATTGACACCAAGAAAGAGTACATAATCAACGAAATCAGGGGAAAATATTTTATGGAAGACAGCATGTGCTATGCCTTGTCTTTTGAGAGAGGGCATGTACAAAGCTTTTTGGTACCTTCAAGAAAAAGATAGGTGAGATTTGATTCATTACCATGGGTTCTGACCAATAACGGAGGCTTCTCATCTGATGAACCTTGGAAAGTATGGTTGTATGGAGGATAGAAATAAGCATAAGCATGCTGGCCAGGGATTACGGTTGGGAACTCCATAAATTCAGGCAAACTAAAGTAGGGTGTATATTTCTTTATGTCCTCTGAGGAGGACCAAACTATAGAAAAGTCAGTTGCCATTGTTCTCTTTTCATCTAGTGTCACCTGGTGAAAAATCATAGGATCAAGCTAGGTTGCACACTGGAGGATCTCAGAGTAGATATTTAGCACGAACAACCAATTCATGAAGGTAGTCTAATGAACCTTTGCTATCGATACTGGAAGACTAGCAGATGCACCTTCAACATAGAAAGATCCATCTGCAGAAACCTAACAAATCAACATGATGTGATTTATAGCATCATCATGTGAAAAAATTAAGGAAATATCAGTTAGCTCTTATCAGAATTTGCACTTACTATGTTAGTTACAGCAGAGAAGGGAAGGTCAATTTTTGAAAATGACCCTGAATCATGGTCCAGCAACCCAACATATGACTTCCCATTCTGCCTAGATAAGAGAAAAATAGGCTTATCTTTATGAATCCCATACAACCATAAAACAAATACGGTCAATACTGAAAACTGCAGCAACCTGTAGCAGCAAACTATTTTCTGACTCTGGTCGTCATTTCCGAGGAAAGCATAGGAGCTGACACCAAAAACCCACATTGGCTTCGAGAATTCAGCATCAAGTGAGTACACTTGCACGACCACATTGCTCTGCTCATCCTGTCATACATGAATCGGCACAATAGCAAGACAAAACCAATTAAAGAATTCCCCAAACAAATGTTAATATGTGTGAAGAATCTAATTCTTAGTTACCGCCTGTTAAGGAGTATTAGTATTGGTCTAGGAGTCCTTATTAGTCTATGTTTAGTTTCCTTGCACCTCAAGTCATGTGTAATATATATATGCCTCTTGGGCCTTCAATAAAGATAAGTTGCTTTCCTAACATGGTATTAGAGCCTAGGTTTAGGTCTCCGGACGCCGCAACTCGTCCTTGCGATCCACTATTTTTTTTCTCGATCGATCTGTTTTTCTCTGGATCGATCTCGTCTTCCATGGCACCACCAGCCCCGCGATCCGCCTGGCGCCTTGACTGCTCGCCCAGCTGCTTCGGCGTGGGCACCTCGTGGGCCGCTACCTGCCCCTGGATCGATGGCGGCTGCCTCAGATCGGGACCATCGCCTCCTGTGCGCTCGGCTGGGGCGCTCGGCTGGAAGCACCTCCAGGCTCCAGGAAGGCTCCGCTCCACGTGCAGGCCCGCCCGTACAGCTCCAGCAGCCTGCGTGTTGCTCTCCTGCAGCTGCAGGCTTCTGTCCGCACACGTTTGCCTGCAGCTGGATCTCATCTTGGCCAACGCTGCTGCTTCCTGTCGACCGCGTGTGCCCCTGCTGGCTGGCTGCTGCTCTGCTCCCGCACGTCCATCTGCGTGCTGCTGTTGTTCCGCTGCCCTTTGCTGCTCTACTCAGCTGATGCGTTCTGCTAGCCTACTTGCTAGTTGATGCGTTCCTGCTAGCCTATTTGCTAGCTGCCGCTGCTGATCTTTTAGTCATTGCATTAGTCTGGCATGTGCTTTTTCTATATTTTTCGCTGCGTCCACCAAATTCGTTGATATTTTGTGTTTTCTCATGTCATGTGAGTCCACCATACCTATGTCTGTCAGCCTTTTTCTGGTCATTGTCCTCTCTATAGGATTTCTGTGGCCTCTCTTTGCATTGTTGATCTAAGCCCATTCCCTTGCCGCCGAGCTTCTTTCGCCGTTGGTTTTCATGGGCCATGATTCTTTAGGCAATGCTTTATTCTCTCGATGGACCATCTTCTTTCGACAACCCATCTTCTCTTGATACTTCTTTTGTATCTTCTATCGGTGCGGTGTCTTCCTCTGATGTGCCATCTCTTCATTATCCCCTTTGGCGACTCGACAGGTTTTGAAGACTCTTCATGCTACGACGACACTCTCAAGACACGGATTTGGATTATCATTTTTTTTAGTATTACACTTCTTCAAATGCAATGCTATTGCATACGCTTTGCATTTGAGGGGGGGTGTTAAGGAGTATTAGTATTGGTCTAGGAGTCCTTATTAGTCTATGTTTAGTTTCCTTGCACCTCAAGTCATGTGTAATATATATATGCCTCTTGGGCCTTCAATAAAGATAAGTTGCTTTCCTAACACCGCCCACCTAATTAGAGTGATTTGATAGTAGGTCCTCAACGCAATACTATTGTGGTAATACCAACCTAGCTAATGGTCTTGCCAAAATAAAAACTCAATAAGAAAGTGGTTTGTCACAATTGTTCCTGTGAATAGATACCGATGAAGGTAAAATGCTGCAGTTATTTGTTAAAAACAGAAAACTGAATTGTTAAAAGATGGGTGCAAGTAATAAATACAGAGAGATGGCAATGGTAATAAGGACACACATCAATTACCGGCTACTCCATGCTGTAACTAAATAGTTTAATAACTTGGGAATAAAGTTATTTCAATGGACAACATAATAGAGACAAACAAGTTAGAAAAAATCATACCCATTTATAAATATTCCAAAATCCACTCTGTCGGTCAGTTATGAAGAACAGTTCACCTAAAGAAAAACTAGTTTAATTAAATGAGATTTTGAAACATAATGTGTTTTATTTTGGTGAAGTACCTAATAACAAGTTAACATACCGAAAATCAACTATTCATGTGGACACAAATATGGAATAAGTTTGAACACGAAGTTAGAGTATGCCAAGATGCAAACACCTTTTGAAGACCACTTGGGTTCAGTAGGAGATTCTACTATCATTGGGTCTCCACCAGCAATGCAAATACGTTTTTCCACCTCTCTGCACAAATAACCATCGTAATAAAAATGAAAAGCTTAGAAGAAGATTAAGAAGCATTCAGGCGTAACTGAATCAACATACAACTGAATCATTCATCTTTTACTTCTCGGAATAAAGGATTGAAAAAAAATCTGATCAAATTGATCATCTGGTGCTACAATAACCCACAAAATAAGGTTTAAATAAAACCTGAAAAGACAAGCATTTTCCGTGAACTGGCTATAGGTTTAGAGTGATCTAAAATGTGCAGTCGTACCGTGGTCATTCAAAAATACACTGATAAATGTTCCAACAACATCCTTCAGTATATTGCAAAAAAAAAGTAAATGTCCTTTTTTCACCAAAAAAAAGTGCAATAGACAAGCATGCAAATAATTTGAAACAACAAAGCATGCAAATAAGAGATTACCCTTTGCTGGAGAAATATCCAACCCATAGTTCTGCTTTATCCCATGACATGTTTGGGTCACTCCATTCAATCCATGCCATGCGTTTTTCAGTTGGATCAATGCGTGGAAAGGCATAGAAGTCATTCCCACTGAGCAGCACAGTTGGTGCTAAGGTGCACATTGAGAACATTATTTATGTAATCCTCAAGAATCTTAAGCACAAATTAATGCAATAGGTGTATAGTCCTCGGTTCTTCTTACCATTAACATCTTCAACACTTGTGCTCACAGCAGCAACTGTTGTGATGGGATTTGAGCCATTCTTGCGGTGATCTGTTGTCAAACTGGATTTACTTATCTTCTTAAAAGAATGTATGAAGCACCATTGACATGCTATATATGGAATACTAATTACCTTCCATTACAGTGACATAACGATTGAAGTGAGGGTCAAAGACACCGTCTGCATAGCGGACAACCGATCCACCATAATCCGGTGTCAGACGTAGTGGTGAATTATCTGAAACCAACAAAAAAGAGCCGTTTGAAGACACATCACATGATACCCTTATTTTTTTTTCTTAAAAGGAGAAGAGATGCATAGTGGCACTACTCTAATCAATCACAATATAGACTAAAAAGATGCAGAACCACTTTTTTTACAAGTCAAATTGAAGCTACAGTTCAATAAATTAAAATGCAGCTATTTTAGTTCATGTTTCTGGAAATGCTGCTTCGTATATCCGTCAAGTATGGAGTCCCCAACATGATGTAAAATCATACCCTCATGCATAAATATTCCAACATAGCGCGCATGTTGTCAACTACAGAACATGCATAGTTTGAAACTGACATGAAGGAACACTTATCTGAAGAAATGCAGAAGTCAAGTCATTCTACTGCAAAACAAAATGCGTGGAGTGCCAAAATGTGCTATGCAGAAGCAATGCGCCTATCCATGAAGATATATCGTAGCACTGAGAAAGCAAGCAATCATCAATAGCTAAACGCAAGCTTCCTCCGCACCTCCGACGGTTTGCTTGTACAGGCGCTGGTCGCTGTAATTGGAGAACACGACGACATCCCCCTGCACGGCGAACGCGCCACCGCCGTACTCCTGCGCCAGGGACCGCACGGCGAACTCCTGCGGCGTCACATCCGAACCTCTGCCGTCTGCGCCCGCCCCTTCCTTCACGAGAACCGCGCGTCTGGGGAAGAGAGGGGAAGTCAAAGCATCAGCGTCGCGCACTGTGAACGATGGGGGCAGCGAGAGGGGGTGAGTGGGTCTGTTGTTTTCGCTTACCCTCCTTCCTCGGGGCGCGTCTCGACCCAGAGGAGCCGGCCGTCGCCGGCGACGGCGAGCCCCTCGACGGTCTTCCCGGCGGAGGAGACGGCGGCGGCGCTGATCGGCGAATCCCAGGAGCCGTACGGCACGGTCGCCTTCTCGACGCCCGTGGCGTGCGGGCGCATCGCGGCCGGGCGTGAGCTGGATTCGGCGAGCGGCGGAGCACTGGTAGTACTCGGCGTGAGTTGGAAGTGTGCAAACCGGAGTAGTCAGAATTGTCTGGACTGTTTGACTGGCAGCGCACGGAATAGGATCATAGGAAAACGTCCGGCCGATTCTACGCCTCGCGTCCACCGTGGTTCATGTATAGTTGAAACCAGACCTTAAAAATTCAGCGTATTGGGAGTCTCATTTCGAATCGATGCCCAAAAGTTAAATCTAGTAGTATAAAAGTTTTCTTTTGCAATTTCTCTCGCCCTACTGCGACGTGTAAACCTTATTTCGACTTCATTTCAACAAATTAATTCGACAGATACGTCAAATGACTTCAATAAGATTTCAAATGTGGATGCACAAAATCATTATGTTAATGAATTGTACCAAAAGAAACGACATTGTTCATCTGACAACAAGGTCATCGAGAAGAAACGCGAGGCAACATGAGCATACATCAAGCACCCCTATGCAACTTACATTTATTAGATACATTTATCTTGGCAATATCGAGGATGGCGGTTTTGGCGTGCCCATGATCCCGCGAGGTTGTTCAATTCTACTTTGTTTTGCCCTGTCACATGATGGTGAAACATCCATGAGCACGAGTGCTTGCTCTTGCTCCTTCCTCTTGTTTTGTCTTTGTCTTGGCGGCGAGCACCTCGTCTCTTCGAGCACAAACTTCTTCTCATAGGTCACTAATTTCCTCTCCTCGTCAATTGCCATCACCTTGAACCTCTCCTCCTTCCGTCGCATGAAGTCCATCCGCATTGTCATATTCTCTGATTTTCATCCAGTCACCAAATCTTTCTTTGTCTCTAGCATTTCTTTGATCTCTTCTATATACTAGATGAACCGTTGTGCCAATTGGCGCAGAGGCCAACTGTAGCATGGAAGCTAAGCGAACTATTTGAAATATTAAATAGAAGTTAAGCGAACTATTTGAAAGATGTTTCTTGTGAATGGTCTGCAAGCATTTATGTTCATAATGCATTTGTATCTGCCCCGTGTATTTACCCACAAATGACAAAAATGATTGTTTTTCATGTCCTTCTTTGACCGGACAGAGCAAGCCAACAGTCGGTGCACAGACATGTGGGTCTGTGAGGGGCTTGGCTGTCCGTCTTTGGTTGCGCACGTCCGGAGTGGCGTGTTGCATGCCCGTGTGCCACACGACGCCTTTACCCGTACTTTGCCTACCCGAATCCTTCCCATCGTCCACCCTGGTCGGCTAACGCTCGCGGACCACTTTCTCGTGCCGTACATAGGAGCAAACCGTAATAAACTAATATATGAACAACACGTCTATAAAGAATGTTTTTCCAAGTTCCATGCAAATGATTATTACTATCTAACTGCGTTTGCATTGCTGATTGCTCGGAATCGATACTCTGAAAAGGCTAAAACTAAACCCTATGCATTTGCAGGCTATCACTGTCCGATTTGGCTTTTCGTTTATCTACTTATTTAACTTTTCCTTCTTGCGCTATGCCACTTCTGTTTTGTGCAGAGGTCAAAGATATTTGGAAAGGGAGGGGGAATCGATACTCTGAAAGGTGATGCGGCCGACACGTCCTCTTCTAGGGGGAGGGCGGCTATGCCTACTAGTTGCCGGGGAAATCGTTCTTCCCGTCGGTGGGTTTGCCATTGCTTCTCATCATCTTCTTTAAGCCCCGTGGCTTCAATTGTTGTGTTGGTTGCGGTCTTGGTCGCCGCTTTTGTAGTGTCTCTTTGTACCTTGCCCTTAGTGGTAGGCGAGGCAACGACCTGTTCTTGCCTGGCCATAGTTCTCCGCTGCCTTCTCCACACGTCGGACATCGCAATCGTAAAACATTTGTTCTTCCAATGCAAATTGACTCGTTTTACATGATCAGTCATCCAAATAATTCTTGGCTTGTATCCTTTACGTAGTGTTGCTAATGTTTTTGGCAACTGGTTACATGGGATCAATAACAAGTTTAGAATTCTTCTTAGGGTGGGAGCGCTTGACGTGATTTGGTCGCTTTGGTTATGTAGAAATGATAAGGTTTTTAATGATAAAAGTTCCTCTCCTCTGCAGGTTATCTATAGATGTACCGGTGCATTTCATTCATGGTCGTCTCTACAAGGTGTGGAGAATCGAGACCTGTTTACAGAGGTGTGTACATGCCTGAAGGCCACGACGAGGGATAATTTTACCTGACATGGATGACAGCATGATCTTCGTATTGGCCCTCCTACGTCTTAGGCGTTATACAACCTCCACATGATTACTTCTATTCCGCCTTATTTATTTATTTGGATATTAAATTTGGTTATGGCAGTGTGCATCTCAGTTATGCAGAGACCGGGTGTAATGTTTAACATTTTTAAGTAATAAAACGCCCTTTGTCATCCTTTTAGGGTTATCCAAGGGAGTGTAGAGGTGTGGTGGCGCCGTGGCGGCCTGCAACTAGGGAGGGTCATGGAGTTTGGAGGCGTTCCCAACGTCCTACTCCATGCACTCTGTAGCCGGATGGTGCTCCTCACCACAAGTCGCCACTTGCAGCCACTTGCAACTAGGGAGGGTCATGGAGTTTGAAAAGGCTAAAACTAAACCCTATGCATTTGCAGGCTATCACTGTCCGATTTGGCTTTTCGTTTATCTACTTATTTAACTTTTGTTTCTTGCGCTATGCCACTTCTGTTTTGTGCAGAGGTCAAAGATATTTGGAAAGGGAGGGGGAATCGGTGATGCGGCCGACACGTCCTCTTCTAGGGGGAGGGCGGCTATGCCTACTAGTTGCCGGGGAAATCGTTCTTCCCGTCGGTGGGTTTGCCATTGCTTCTCATCATCTTCTTTAAGACCCGTGGCTTCAATTGTTGTGTTGGTTGCGGTCTTGGTCGCCGCTTTTGTAGTGTCTCTTTGTACCTTGCCCTTAGTGGTAGGCGAGGCAACGATCTGTTCTTGCCTGGCCATAGTTCTCCGCTGCCTTCTCCACACGTCGGACATCGCAATCGTAAAATATTTGTTCTTCCAATGCAAATTGGCTCGTTTTACATGATCAGTCATCCAAATAATTCTTGGCTTGTATCCTTTACGTAGTGTTGCTAATGTTTTTGGCAACTGGTTACATGGGATCAATAACAAGTTTAGAATTCTTCTTAGGGTGGGAGCGCTTGCCGTGATTTGGTCGCTTTGGTTATGTAGAAATGATAAGGTTTTTAATGATAAAAGTTCCTCTCCTCTGCAGGTTATCTATAGATGTACCGGTGCGTTTCATTCATGGTCGTCTCTACAAGGTGTGGAGAATCGAGACCTGTTTACAGAGGTGTGTACATGCCTGAAGGCCACGACGAGGGATAATTTTACCTGACATGGATGATAGCATGATCTTCGTATTGGCCCTCCTACGTCTTAGGCGTTATACAACCTCCACATGATTACTTCTATTCCTCCTTATTTATTTATTTGGATATTAAATTTGGTTATGGCAGTGTGCATCTCAGTTATGCAGAGACCGGGTGTAATGTTTAACATTTTTAAGTAATAAAATGCCCTTTGTCATCCTTTTAGGGTTATCCAAGGGAGTGTAGAGGTGTGGTGGCGCCGTGGCGGCCTGCAACTAGGGAGGGTCATGGAGTTTGGAGGCGTTCCCAACGTCCTACTCCATGCACTCTGTAGTCGGATGGTGCTCCTCACCACAAGTCGCCACTTGCAGCCACTTGGTGTGGCCATGTTTTGATGCCAGAACTAAATTCTAAAGGATTGCTACACATTAACTTTTAGTACCCAGACAGATTTGGTGGTGGCCTGCTTGTCAACGTGGCGGTAGGTCGAGCGTGACTGACCATGGCGCGGCATGCGAGAGGTTCAGGACCCAGTGCTCAGATCTGACGGTCACTGTGGCGTTTGCCGTTGTATGGTTGACGACAGCGGCTGGCGTGGTGGTGGGTGCTCCCTATTGCACCTGGAATCGGGGCGGCGGCCCCTCTTCTTCAATAATGGCGGACTCCGGAGTCGTGTGAGTGACTCATAGTCTGGATCTCGAGGTGGTGACGACCTTTCTGAGGCTGCTGGCGGTATGGGGCGTCTCCTCCATCAATAAATCGGGTTCGATGCTGCTCGGCAGGTGACACATGCATCTCGTTCGGAGTCGTCGGCCAGTGCCTATCATCGGCAGCTGAAGTCTCCGGCGGATGCTACGCATGACGTCTCATGCAGAGGCATCAATTCATGCCTGCTACCGGCGCGTGCTACACGGTGGCTCTGGCGGAGGTCTCATGTCTAGCCTGTTGCTGCTGGATCGAAGGTAGTGCGACAGTGGTGGGAGGCAGGCGGTATGAGACGTCTGTCTTCTGGTGTCCTCCACAAATATCTGGTTATCGAGGCGTCGATAGCCAGATATAGGGATAATGTTACATATGTCTTCAACAACAACTTTATATACTCCGGTGGAAACACAAAATCTCTGATAAGGCTATGTCGACACGCGCCTATGTCGTGTCCTTGCTGAAGGTGATGGATTGAAGCTTGGCTTCAGGGATGAGAATTCGGAGTTCAAACTTGTGTTGCATCATCTGTGCACGTGTGGTGATTCCTTCTTGAAGGCGTAGTCTAGGGGTTGTGTATTTTTTGTTTTGATGTCGTCTTGTAACATAGTTAGTGGCTATCTGATGAAGTTATTGCCGCAAGGCATGCGGCCTTAGGGTTTCTTTTCACTTTATTTTTTGGTCAATGTTTTTTTGAGAAGGAACGAATTATATTCCACTTAAACTTGGGAAGCCATATCAGCGTTCACCAAGACAGAAACAAAGTCTGGGGCAACATTCGCCCACACATGAAGTGGTTCAGCAACACCCATAGCAAACTGGGCCAAAGCATGCGCCACATGGTTACAGTTTCGGGGACAATACATGAATTCAGAGAAAACAAAGGAGGCATGGCACAGGCTTCTTGCTTCTCTGAAGAGAACTCCCAGCTCCGCAGCATCGTAGTCCCGCCCTTTAAGTGCAGAAATCATTGTCAAACAGTCTGATTCAAAACTAATACGTTGTGCACCCAGGTCAGCTGGCCCTTCAATAGCTCGCATACAAACGATCACCTCCACGTGCAGGGCAGATCTTACATGGTTCATCTTGCCAG